GGGAGCTAAAATAACCTTGTGCGGCCGGCTAGCCACCATCCCCAGAGGAAGGAGGGACGCCCTCTGTCCAGCTCTGTTTCCCCTTGGAGAGCTGCTGACCAGGGAGGGGGTGCCTCGGCCGGGCCGGGGCTGCTTTGTCCACTCACTGTGGGGGGCGCCCAGCGTGGGCCCTCCTCAGGAGGGTGCACTGGGTGGGGGACAGCCGTCTGGTTTGGGCTCATGCTGGTCACCACCACGACCCAGCACAGTGACTGAGAAAGCACAGTGACAGTCCTGTGCAGCCCACGCTGGGCATTTTCTGATTTTGCAAATGAAAATGGGCCTCTATGCAGCAATATCTAATATACATCAAATTATCATAGAACAGACTTCTGCTTCCAGGCAAGAGGAAGCAACAGGAACCAGAGTTATCCTCTTAACATGAAACAACCCCAAACTGGAGGAAATCTATGGAGCACTGGTTTGCAAGACACTGGACGGCAGGCAACATATGACAGTGAGCCTTGGGTGCTGGGCACCCCCGCTGACTGCCTGGATAGCGTCACAGCTGGTGCAGGGAGGGGACCCGGTCGGAGCCTGGCAGTCTCCCTGGGTGAGGACTGGGGAGACTAGGGTGGACAGAAGTCACAGAACAGAGTCAGGAGAACAGAGTGAACAGAACTGACGGAAGAGAGCGCAGCACAGAGAACCCGGAGACCGCAGGGAGCCCCCTGAGGTACACGGCTGTGTGCTGGTGAGCTCATGCAGGTGGGAATGACCCACTGGAGGTGTTCGAGGGAGCAGGGCCCGAGGCTCGCACAGGGTCGTGAATGGTGCCTGTACTAGCTGAGAAGACCTCCAATCCACAGGGCACGGGGTGGTGCACCCAGAGACGGAGATTGCCTCAGTACTGGAGAATAATTAGCCCTCGTCTGAGCACTGCTCTGGTCTTGCCTACAGATCTTAACAGCAAGGCACAGAGATCAAACTGTCTTTAAATAACTTAACTGCATCTCAGAATAAATTTCAAGAATATCTATAAGAATACAGAAATATCTAGCACCCAAAAAGGTAAACTTAACGATTTCTGGCATCCAATTAGAACTATCAGGTGTGCAAAGAAGCAGGAAAATTAGACCCATCATGAGAGGATAAATCAATCAATTGAAACTGACCCAGGACTGGCACAAAGGCGTTAAAACAGTATTATAACTGTATTCCATGTGTTCTGAAGGTAGAGACGTGGAAGATATAATAACACTCCAGAATGAACTTCTAGAGGTAAAAACTACAATGTATGAGATGAAAAACACACTGAATGGGATTGATGGCAGATTAGACACTGAAGCAGCATGGCGAAAACAACTATCCAAAATGAAACAGAGAGAAAAGAGAATTAAAATAACCCCCGATCCTCAGTGATCTATGGGACAACTTCAAGCAGCCTAAAATATGTTTAATTGGAGTCCCTGAAGAAGAGGAGAAAATATTGAGGATAGGGGTGCAGAAAAAATATCAGAAAAAATAATGGCCAAGATGTTTCCTAATTTGATGTAAACCATAAACCCACAGTGCAAGAAGCTCAATGCACTGCAAGCACAGGAAGCACGAAGAAACCCACGTCATGGTACGTCATAATCTAATTGCTCAGCACCAGTGACAGTAGGAATCCTTAAAAGCAGCCAGGGAGGTAGGCAGAGTGTGTAAAGGGGATGCAGAACCCATTATCTGCGACCTGTGAGGCCAGTGCCGGCTCTGTTCTGGAAAACACTCCCCGTGTGCCTGAGGAGAACCCACAGTTTCTAAGAAATGAGTCCAGGGCCCTGCAGATGTCCCATAAATCGGGCTTGTTACCTGTGTCGTCCAAATCCATGTATTTACCCTTTTTGAAGTCTGGTGACCTGCAGTAATTGAGAGGGTTGTGTTGGAAACACCCACAAATGATGATGCATTTCTTGATTGTTCCCTGTGGGTTCGCAGTGTTGCTTTACACATTTTCCCTCTTTATTTACATCTTTTTCAGAGTCCCATTAGAGTAGGTTTGTTGGTGGTAAACTCAGTTTATTTATCTAAAAATGCGCTTTTTGCTCTTTTCCCTAAATATAGTGTTACTGGGTACGTGATTCCAGGTTGTCACACTTTGTGGGTATTATTTCCCTCCCTTCTGTTGTTACCATGGAGAAGTCTGCTGTCTGTCTAACTGCTCTTCCTCTGCAGGTGATCTGTTTTCTCTTTCTGGTTGTTTTTAAGGTCAAATTGTCTTTGGTGTTCTGTCTTTCTCCACGAGATGTCTAGGTGAGGGTCTCTTGTTTATTTATGCAGCTTGTTATAAATGATGTGCCCATACCTGTGGATTCATGTCTTTGTTAGTCCCGGGAAATCCTAACATTATCCTGTAGAATGCTTCCCTTCTTACATTCTCTTCACTTTGTCTTCCTGGACGGACTCCAACCAGACATGTCTTAGACTTCATTCGGTCCTCTCTCTCCGTCAGCCTCTCTGCTGCATCTGCATTCTGACTAATTTCTTCAGATAACTTTCCAGTTTAATAGCTCCCTCTTCAGCTATGTTTAATGTGATGTTTAATTAATATATTAAGTTTTTAACAAGTATATTTTTTATTTCTAAAAGTTCTATTTGGATCTTCTGCGTATCTTCCTGATCATCTAGGAGATCCTCTTGTTGCTTATTTTTGTGATTCTCTCTCATGTATATTTAAATATTTCATGCATCCTATTTATTATTTTGTATTTCTAATTCCAAACCTGACATTACTGCGGGTCTAAATCCACTTTTTATTGTTTCTGTTGACTCTCACTCATAATGGTTTATTTTCTTTGTGATCTTTGATTGTGGGCTTATTTTGATTGATGTTAAATTCTAAAAAATCAAGGTTCGTAACTTAGCCACTTTATTCCAGTTTGTTTCTGCCAGAGTCCCCGAATTCGCCTTGGAATTTTGCACTGAGCTCTGCTGTTTGCTTTTGGCTCAAAGCCTGGTTTCAAAGAAGCCCCCCACTTCTTGTGTGCTCACCACTTATCTCTAAGCTCACTTGCTTTCTCCAGTTTCTTGAGAGTTTTCTCACTTTCTGTAAATCCAAGATGTAATAAAAATACACTTGCATGCAAGTTCTAATTGTGTCGTAGTACAAAGCTCGCCATATAGCCTGGAAGCCCTTTCTGCGTATCTCCTTTCCTAGGTCTTATTCCATGTTCATGACTCAGATGGCGCCCAAATTGTATCCATAGCACCCAGCTCAATGCCCAGCATGTGGTGCCTGTCATTCTTTTTGTCAAAACATTTTAGCCACCCAGCTTCCAAGCCTGGCCTCTATTTGGGGAATCTTGTGGTTTGAGTTTGCGTGGGAGGCAGAGACCATCTCCCCTCTAGAAGCCAGAGGCTCATCTACTCTTAAAGGTTGCAGTCAGGTGAGTGACCGGGCTCCTCAGGTCCATGAGCTGTGTGGATTTGGAGGCTCCCACACCACGAGGCCAGGGCAGCCACCATGTGGTGCCACAGTCAAGGTGCAAGTAATTGGGGTAGCAGCAGTTCCAGCAACAGGACTTGGGGGAACCAGGTCTCTGCAGGCTTGAGGGGCTGGGGGCAGGGTCCAGAGTGCAGCTGGCAAGCCTAGAGGGACCCCTCCCACGAAGGAGGGCAGAGTAGAGTGGAGGTCAGCGGGTGGCTCCAGGTTTCCTGGCAGGCAGGAGGGTGTGGCAGCCTTCAACTTGGAGGCATGGCCCAGAGGCTCCGCCCACTGACTTTGTTGATGGGGACCCGGAGTGGGGCCCATGAGCAGCGACGGAGGAGTGGGGGAGGGTGCTTCCACAGGAGGGCTGGCCTTCCCTGGAGGGGCCCGATGGTGTGCGGAGGCCTTACAGGGGGTCCCCCTCTTGTTCCATCAAGAGGGAGGGGTGGAAATGGACTTGGTGACCGAAGAAGAAAAGGGTATCTGAGCAGGTGCGGACAGGGAGGGTGAGTGGAGGGGCGTGCAGGAACCGGGCAGGGGTAACACAGGTGTTACTGTGTGGGCAGGCGTCCGGGAAGCAAAGCACTTTATCACATGGTTCATGGAGGAGGAAACTGAGGCACGGGAAGGCCAAGGAGCCTGCCCCCAGGGCACACCTCCTCCAGGAAGTGTGGTGGTGGCAAGCTGGTCACATGGCAGTTTAGGGTGGGGCCTGCTGGTGGGGTTTGGAGGTGCATCACTTTGCTCAGAGAAACAGCGTCCCCACTGCTGGGCCCGTGGAGGGTCAGCGCCTGTGGTGGGTCTGACTCAGGATAGATCTTGGCTGGCCTGGGGGCTGGGGAGTGACGGGAGGAGGCTGGGGCAGCTCCCATCTGGGGAAGGCTTGGCAGCGGTTCTGGAAGCCCAGACCCAGGCCTAGTTCACACTGGACTTCAGAGCCCAAGGCTGGGGGGCGGGGCGGGGCGGCGGGGGGAGGGGTCTACCCCCAACTCCCCACCCGCCCTCCACCGACACAGCCACCCCAAAGCCAAAGATTTAAAATTTACCAAGACAATTTCAAGTTTATTGCCATTAAAATTTATTTTTATTATTTCCTATAAAACTTCCTGAGAAATTTTGAACAATTTCCTTAAAAGCTACTTAAACTCATAGAGTTATCAACATTACTAATCAACCAAAGTGAAAACATGGCGCCAAGTCCATTTCGAATCTGCTTTCTCCCGGGAAGAACATAAGACGTGTTTAGAAAACTATGGCTTCCAAACTGAAGAAAATGCAGAATTCGTTAAAATCTTCCCATACAGCCAAAATCAGAGGAGCAGCTCTGGCTCCCTCTTCTTTTCTTGCCTCTTACGGAGAACGACAGGCCTGCGCAGGCGGAGGAATGTGGATCGCGGTGCCCCGCGCTCTCCTCCGAGGAAGCGGACCCGCCGGGCACCACGGGTGCCTGCACGGAGGGGAGGCATTCTGGACAGCCTGGAAGATGCCCTGCCTCTGAACACCCTAGACACCCCACGAGCCCCCCGAAGCTCTGGGTGTCTGGGCGTTGTGGTCACTGGGACTGCGGTGGAGAGCCGGCGCTCGGCTCAGAGGCCTCTCCGGAGGGGCCGCCGTTCTCCACACTGAGGACGGGGTGCATGTCGACCCTGGTCTCTCCCGCAGCAGCAGGCAGGCCCTCGGCGCCCTGGCTGGACGGCGCAGCCTCGCCCGGAGCCGCCTCCTGTGTGGGTCCTGGAGGCTGCTGCTGCTGGACGTGGCACACCCCCTGGATGGCCTGCCCCTCCTCCGGCTCATCGTCGATGTTGATGCTGGTGGACTCCTCACTCCGGGCCTTCTGGCTCCCTGGGAGGCCGTCCTGGGGCTTCTGGGATGGCACATCCTGGCTGCTGCAGGGCAGTGAGTCCGGGAGCAGGAAGTTTTCCATTGCTGACTCCCCAGGCGGGATCTCAGAGGAGGGGGTCTCCCCGATGGGCGACTTGGCCAGCGTGGGTTCCCCAGCTCCTGCAGAGCAAAGGAAAGTCACCATAAATACCCCGGGGGAGGTGTGCAGAGGGTCCCGCCGAGCCCTTGGCACACAGGCCCAGAGGCCGGCCCGGTCTGCACAGAAGACCAAGGCGCAGCGCTCCGGGCACCTTGTGTCCTGCCCTCCTGCCAGGAGGTGGGGGCCCGTTCCTGGGGAGAGCAGCTGGGTTTACTCACAGCTGGGTCTAGGCGAGAATCCTCCTCCCCGACACTGTGCCCTCCTCGCTCCCCCTGCCTGCTGTGACGGGCAGCCAGAGGTTAGAAATGAATACATCGTCTACCCGGGCTACTTTCTGTTCTTATTGTGAAATACATCACATATGTAGAAGAGTGGATAAAACATTTATTACATTTAAAAGAATAACGAGACAGTGACAGCGACAGCCCACATGAGGACTCCCACGGTGAGGGCTCCTGTGTGTCCTCTCCAGTCACAGCCCCCTCCTTCCCACCCCTGTGGCCAACAGATGGCTGCGTGGGCAGCATTCTCCCCCTTTTTACACACGTCTAGTGCACCGGCACCTTCTCTAAACAACAGGGCGTTTCTTGTTGCCTTTTTTTGAACTTTGTACAGAGGAAATCAGAGCGTAGGCAGTTTCTTGCTTCTCTCTCTCCAAGTGAAGCCATGTAGGAGATGCGTCCCTGTGATGGCAGTGTTCCATCACGGGCGGTCCACGGGACGTGAAGCCGTGTAGGAGACGCGCCCCTGTGACGACGGTGTTCCATCACGGGCGGTCCACGGGTTACTCACTGGGTGTCCTAGTTGTTCCCAGTGGGAGGCCGCTATGAACAGTGCTCACGTCTCCTGGTGCGCTCAGGCGAGAATTTCTCTAAGACACACGCTTGGAACGAACTGATGGGCCTTGGTCAGCTCGTGCTCAGCTGAGGGAGGTCACACCATCCCAAAGTGGATGTATCAATTCAAACCCACCAGTTGCACGTGTTCCCACAGCCCCACCCTCGCCAGGACCTGGTAACGTAAGGTTCACGTTTTGCTCATGTGGTGGGTAGACTGTGCTGCCACACGTGGTTTCAGGCTGCATTTCCTGATTAATGATACAGTTAGCACTTTTCACCTGTTTACTGGCCTTCTGGGTTTCCTCTTCTGCGAAGTGCCCGTTCAGTCATTTGTCCATTTTTTCTTATTGAGTCATAGTTCTTTGTATATTCTGGATGACTAGTCCTTTCTCAATTACGTGTTGCAAATATTTTTCCAATTTTTGGTTGACTTTTCACTTTCTTTTTTTGTGTGTGTGAGGAAGATCGGCCCTGAGCTAACATCTGCCAATCGTCCTCTTTTTTTGCGGAGGAAGACTGGCCCTGGGCTAACACCCATGCCCATCTTCCTCTACCATATCTTTATATGGGACGCCGCCACAGCAGGACTTGACAAGCGGTGCGTCGGTGCGTGCCCGGGATCCGAACCGGGGAACCCCGGGCCACCACAGTGGAGCGCACGCACTTAACCGCTTGCACCACCGGGCCGGCCCACTTTTCATTTTTTAATGGCACCTTTTGATGACCAGAAGTTCTTAACTTTAGTGTAGTCTAATTTATGCATATCTATATTTATGATTAGTGCCTTTAAAAAAAAACCTTACTTAACAAATCCTTATGTAGTCAGCCCTCCGTATTCTCGGGTTCTGCATCTGTGGATTCAATCCACTGTGGATCGAAAATGAGTCATGCACCGCATAACCACGTTTTGGTCAATGACCGACCACACATACAACGTGGTCCCATAAGATTAGTACCATATAGCCTAGGTGTGCACTAGGCTATACCATCTAGGTTTGTGTAAGTATGCTCTATGATGTTCACACAATGACAAAATTGCCTAGTGATGCATTTCTCACAGTGTATCCCCGTCTTTAAGCAATGCGTGACTGTACCCAGATACTGTGTTTTTGATCCTTGGATGTGACCTCACAGATATGGAGAGCCACTTGTAGGGATCTGAACATCTGTGAATTTTGGTATCCATGGAGGGTCCTGGAACCAATCCCCCGTGATACAGAGGGATGACTGTATACCATGAGGACGTAACGATATTATCGAATATTATCTTCCAAAAGTTTTTATAGTTTTTCCTTTACATTTATGTCTTTAGTCCACATGGAATTGATTTTTGTGAATAGTACAAAGTAGGGGTCTAATTTCATTAACGTTTTGCCCACATAGGTACCAAATTATTCCAGCAGATTTTATTCAAAAATCTATTCCTATTATCAATCACATCTGCCAAAAATTATGTCCATGTGTTTATAGATGTTCTCCTGGCATCTCTAATCCATCTCACTGATCTCTACATTTATCTCTGCAAAAAGAGCACACTGTCTTTAACTGATAAAGCTTTAAAGGAATGGTAAGGCAAGTCTTCCTACACTGTCCTTTTCTTCAAGGGTGTCTCGGCTGTTCTTGATCCTTTCAAATTCCAGTTAATTCAAATTCAAAATACAGTTAAGAATCAGCTTTTCAAGTTACACACACACACGCCCGCACACACACACACTTGTTGGGATTTTGATTGAGGTTGCGTTGACTCTATTTGGGAAATTTGATGTATTTACAATATAACTTACACTCCATGAACAATATATATCTCTTCATTTGTTTAGGTCTCTTTTTAAGTTTCATAATTTTCTCGACAAGTCTTGGACTTTTTTTGTTAGGTTTATTCCCAAGGACCTCATTTTTTTAAAATGCTGTCATAAATGGTATATTTTTCATTTTTCTAACATTTTGTACTGACATGTAGAAATGTCTATTTCATCCTCATTCGTAAGATACATTAACCAGGTATAAAATCCTAGACTCACTTTTCACCATCATGTTAAAGGTATGACTCAACTTCATTCTGGCTTCCATTAGTATGAATTTAGTTAGTTAATCAACAACTCCTTGGAAGAGAATCTGTTTTTTATCACTGGATATTTAAAAATATATATTTTCTTTGTCTCAGGCGTTCGTCAGTTTACTTATGATGTATCTAGAATTTTATTTACCATCTTAGATTCAGTGGACTTTGTGAATCTGTGAGTCGGTATCTTATGACAGTGTTGGCAAATTATCAGCCATCATCTCCTTAAACATTGCCTTTTCTTGACTTTCTCTTCTGTCTTTCTGGGACTCTGATGACACATATCATAGACTTAAGACTCTATCCTCATTCACTTTCCTTCGTATTTTGCATTTCTTTGTCTTTCTGTATCTATTTGAGTAATTTCTCCAGCTCTAGCTTCTAGTTCACTAATTCACTTTTCAACTGTGTCTAATATATTGTTAAATCCATCAGTGAACTTTTTTATTTTGGTGATAATTTTCATTTCTATAAGTTTTATTTGCTTCTTTTTCAAATGTGCTTGGTAATTAAAAAAATACTTTTCTGTTCTTTTCAGGTATTTTTAACTTTGCCTTTTATTTCTCTAAACAAATAATCAGTTACTTTGTGTTTTCGTCTGCTAAGTCCAATACCCGATGTCTCTGTGTGTCTATTTCTGCTAGTTTCCGTTGACTCTGACTCATTGTGCTTTGTTGCCATGTGTAGTCGGTCATTTTTCACTGAGAGCTGTTCATTTTCTTTGTAGTTTTATTTGTGAAAAGTCTTGATGAAGAAGCCTGGGATGAAGGGGCTCCTCAGAGAGGAGTTCTGCCTGGCGTCTGGGAATGACCAGTCCAGAATCACTCCACAAGAATTCTCAGATGGAGGGTTTTCTGGACCACTCACCCAGTGCAAAGTGAGGGACAGCCTGTTGTTCCCAACACTCAGCAGTGATTTTTCTCTTTTCCTTTCAGCTCCAAGGTTTGAGATGGCTGATTATCCCTGAGTCCTTTCGGGGGGAGAACTGAGTTCCTTCTGGTTCACTACAATGTGGGCACAGCCATTTGAGGGTCCAATCTTGATAGGATAACTTACTGGCCTCCCATTTTGGCTGTGCTTAGAGCGTGGTCTTCTCTTTCTCCCTCCTGTAAAGCTGTGAATATCAGGGTCGGCAGATGCTCTAGGGCAGAGGCTCCAGTGCCTAGCGGGTTCTCTTTGGGTTTCCGCTTTGCCTCGGGCCCTGGCCTGAGAATCCCTCACTGTCTTGCTAGGTCATGAAAGCCCTTAAGAATACTTACACCCATGTGCACGGTGCTCACACATGCATCCATGGTGCTCGTTTGTCTGCCTGTCAGTCCATCCTAGGAATCAACCTGCCCCGTGAGTGGAACCTGCAGGCTCAGGCTCCATTTTACAAATTTTTTTCTTCCTTTTCCCTCCCTTTTTCATTGATGCCATTGGTTTGTATTTTATAATCCTTACTCACTTTAAATCCTTTCTGGAATTATGTAAAAATCAAACTAACCCTCTCAGCCTCCATCTCCTTTCTAGAAGTAGGAGTCACTGATTCCTACACACGGCATATTGAAAAGATTAAAATTACATACTTGAGAAGTGCTTTGTGCACTTGAAAGGGATGCACAACGATGAGAGATTATCAGAGTAAACATCAGTTGTTTAAAAGCTGAGTGTTGAATGCTTTTGTAAATGAGGTGACACCATTTCAGAAGCACACTGGAAGGATCAGGACATGTGAACAGTGAAGACTCCACCTGAAATTACTCAAAACTTCAGCAGGCAGGATGTGGTTGGCTGAGTTTAAGCTTCTGTGGAACGCATCGGACCTTTTGTTTCAATCGCTCATCACACTTTCCCGTGGGACCTTGCTCTGTGTGTCCATTAGTAAGCTGGCCACCATTGCTCATCACAGGTTCCACAGATCAGACTGGTGGCCACGCAGAAGGATGCCCAGAGCCAGCTCTCAGCTGTTTGCAGATGGTTTGCTAGCTGATGCTTCAGCCAGGTGTCCAGCTCCACCTCTTGGACCTACTGCTTTCTGGCACACACAGCAGGTGGTGGGGCGAGCATGCTGGATGTCAGGGCTGTTTGCAGACACTCTGTGTGAGCTCAAGCTTGTCCTCTATATCACCAAGACAAC